CAAAGGCGCTGTTGTCACCTTCGTTGTCGTATTTCCCACTGGGAAATATCTTAGATGCCATTGGTCCGTTGCGTCTTTTAGTATGCTATTTGGTAACTCACCCCAAGGACGGTTTTGCACTGTATATATACGTTTTAAATTGTGTTTGTTGTTATCGCTCGTTTTTGGCTGTTTTGCAGAATATACTTCCCCATTCCAAGTTTGAACTTCTCCTTCTAGTTAGTGGGGCTAGGACGCACTGAGTCTTTGTTCTCGTTCGTAGATTAAGTGAACTCGTGATAGCTTCAGACCTAACAGTTAGCTATTCAGTAACTCAATAAGTGTGAATACAATCTACCAACTAGTGTCAGTTGTTTATTTTTGATGAAAATTATTATTAGGTTATACAGAATATTGATGGAACCATGACAATAAAATGAAACAATAAAGTAGAGAACTTGTAAAATTAAGAGACAATGGTACGCATTTTAGGCATAGAGGGTGAGATACATGTCTAGCATAGTCATTGTTACATTGTTAATAGGAAAGTAGATGTTATAACTCGTGGCCTATATGCCCTGTTAATGTATTACGTAACGATACCGCCGATTAGAGAGCAATGAATTATCGATCGGACTAATGACACATAAAACCCGTACGAGCAGTCTAGAGTACTTATCGGTACTGCTTCCTACCTAGACCAGCCACTTAAGTCCAGAATACCGATCTCAGCCTCTGCGATATGAATCATACGGAATTTATATACCAATCAAACAGATCACAACGTACCACAAAATAGAAATGTAGGAGAGTAGTAGTTAATAGACAAAGCATAATTCAAGAATAGTAAATCGTATAATAATAGTTCATAGGTCAAAATAAAGCTTATAATAAAAGGAACATGAATATGTATAGTTTAATTATTTAGTATTGATCCATAAATAGATCGCAAAAGTTACTATTCATTATTCTTATCAGGACATAACCATAGGTATCATTGATTCTTACATACAAAATATGCCTAAACATTGTTTAGATCGTTGATCTTACTATTTTTTAAGCTAAAAATAACCTCCAATGCTATTAGAAATTTTATTATACTTTCAATTAAGTTACAACATGTCATTATCTTACAACAGCATTAAACGAAATCCAAACACTTACAACAAATGAATGCACATATTCACTAATATGTTCTCTCTCTTACTCACTCTTTTTCACCCTCCATATTGTTATACCAAATAATAAAGAATCATTGAAAATAAAATAAAGACTCAATAATAATAGATAAATATTTTGAATATGTCATTTCTAATTGTCAACTAATAAAGTGTAGGCAGAAAAGAATAAATGAACAAGTATTACATAACAAAGTTATGATCTCAACTGTTGAAATTATTACAATCTCTACAAAACCCTTTCTGATATTAAAATGATAATAAATCGATAAATAGTTTAATCAGTTTCATGAAAGAGTAATCCTTTGTAAAAAGGTACTTCATTACACACACACACACACACATTGATATATATGTATATAGACTTAAACAAACAATTACAGTAACAATTGGATTATCAATGAAATAATATTCTATAATGATGAGATTTCGAATAGATGTTTCATTTTATTTAACATCCGTCGACTGGATATACCACCTACATGGGACTCCTCAGTAGTGCGAATCCACGAACCCGCCCCCCCCGCGGGACTCGAGCCCAGGACCTACTGGCTTCGCGCGCGAGCACTTAACCATTAGACCCCTGAGCCGGCATCCAACGGTGTTAATGTCTAACTTCAACACCGTTGGATGCCGGCTCAGGGGTCTAATGGTTAAGTGCTCGCGCGCGAAGCCAGTAGGTCCTGGGCTCGAGTCCCGCGGTGAGCTGGTTCGTGGATGCACACTGCTAAGGAGTTCCATACTAGGATGAAACGGCCGTCCAGTGCTTCCAGGTTTTCAATGGTGGTTTAGCTTCAACTGACTCATGATTTCAACCTGTGAAGTTTTCTAAAATCTCCACAAAACTCATTCTGATATACCAATTACATGTCAATGTAGAAAAGTTTTAATAATAATTCGTTAAAAAATGTCTTCAAAAGCTGGAGAAATACTAAAATGATTATGTTACTATTCTAAAGAAACTTCTATTTAACTTATTGATTTTATTTGATACAAGAAGGCAATGAATACATATACGCCATATAAATCATTCGATATGTATGAGGTTTGAAATACTAACCCGGGAGTACAAACAGACGTTTTCTTAGGAACCACTCGCCAAGTATTCGATCTAAAGATCTATTCCACACGGCAGTAGAGAAACATTAGGAGATACAGTCTAACGGTAGTCGATGACCAACTATAGGTTCATACGCCATTCTCTCCTTTAGGATCCTGGAGCCCATGTGAACCACTGGTTTGGAATCAGGATTTTAAAATTCCCCTAGGTGGATCAATCATACCTATCAATCCAGTTACAGCTCTGGACGTCTACCTTCTAGCCTCTCACTTTCGTAGACAACACTCCCTTTGAGAGACGGCAGTGAGTAGGACATCCCTGTCAGTGGCTGCATACGCGTGGCCATATGAGATCATTTCGTGAGGGAGAGATAACTCTCCTCACTCTCGGCCGTACCAGGTGCTTTTACTATCGTTAATGAACAGTTACCCAATTCTCATTTATCTAATTTTAATCTGCTCTTCATAAGCTTCAAGAACTTCGAGTTTACATAGGACCATTATAAATATGCTTGTCTTGAATGAATTAAAAAGTCTTGAAACCACGACACCTTTTAAAAAACATCCTGTCTTCTATTTTACATTCAGGTCTCAGGGGTACAAAACTTCTACATTAGGAAATCGATCTTTCAGCGTTTGAATGTTATAATGCGTTTCACTCAGTAATGTTTTTAGCATTGAAGTTCAAAACCGGTATCAGAATGTTATCCATCAAGTGGCATGAACATTAGTTAGATACACATAGATCGAATTCTCAACTACAGTAGCAACAACCGAAGAACTCATAAAACCAACTGCGTATAAACCATCCAGCTGAGAGAATAAAACTCTACCAAAATCATCCACCTGAGCTACAAACCTTCTCCACTATCTCAATTAGACAAAGATACTGGCAAGTTACAGAATAAACGAAATTATACGTGTATCTTAGATTAAATTATTCTTATCATGTAAATAAATACAAGGAGTATTTATAGGAAAAGTTAGAGAAAATTATATTCAATGGTAAAAAGTATTTACAAATCACATTGCCCCCAAATGCCCTGGTACGGACGAGAGTGGGGAGAGTCAGCTCTCCTTATCCAAATGCTCTCACATGGCTACGCGTATACAGCTACTGACAGAGAAGTTCTACTCATTACCTTCTCATGGCGAGGGTGTTGTTTACGAAGTCGAGAGGACGAAAAGAGAATGTCCGGAGCTTTAACCGGGTTGATGGACACGGAATATCCACTTAGGGGAGTTGGGAAACCCTCATTCCAAACCAATGGTGCACATGGGTACCAGTATCCTGAGGGAACAAATGGCGTATGAACCAATCGTTGGTCACCGGCTACCATGGGATTGCATCTCCTGATGATGCTCCACTGCCTTGTGGATCAGACCTTTGGGTTGAAGGCTCCGGGTGTGGCCACCTAAGAAAACCACCTGTTTCGGTTTGGGCATCCGTGCAGTACCACAGTCCCCCTTGTACCAGTATTTATGTGTTCAAATAAATAAATAAATACAAATCACATTGATTTTAATTCAAATAAATTGGTTGTTTAGATCTTTTCAGTGATGTTTAGGAGTGCAATTGTTTGATCTTTTATTAGCTTCAATATTGCCAGTAAATAAAAAGCATCGTTTTTTTTCTAAAGCAGAGATGGATAGTTAATAACAGTGGAATCCAGGAAACGAATTCCATCCTATTCAGCATTCATCAACTGGATATACATGTATCCAAGAGTTTAATGTTCACTTCAGGACTTACTTGTAATAGATCGAAACAATATGCACAAGATACGCGACACCGTTTAAGGTTTATTATTATTATTATTTGAACACATAAATATTGGTACAAGAGAGCGCCAATATATATGCGCCACACAAAACAATGAGAATTCGAAGAGAGTAGAAAGAAAAAAAAACTAAGGAACGCAAAAGAAAAAGAGAACAATGACGAAGAGATTGGAGTAAGGTAGTGTGGTAGTAACGACGGAACGAAAAGGTACAATCAGAAGAAATCTTTCAGGTAAAGGAGACACAACCACTTTTTATGAAGAAAGTAAAAGAAGGTTACAGCAGGATCGCCACTGGCTTCTATTCTGAGCCATATCTGATAACGTCTCTAGCCACTGTGTAGCACCATCTCTCGGACCCCAGCCAGGGAGTCGTGAAGGACCAACACAAGCCAGTCCTTTGCAGCTTTCTTTCATGCCACGACACCATGTCATGCACTGACCACCTCTCCGCTCCTTCCAACCAGTCCCAGAGTCGGCAAATAATGCACGACGAGGAATTCTCTGAGACGACATTCGGAGAACATGTCCAAGCCACCGAAGTCGGTGTTTCAAGATGGTGACACCAATTGAGTTATCATCTCTGTGCCCGAACACACGATGCCGAACCTCTGCATTACTGACATGGTGTTGCCACTGAATGTCAGCAATCCTTCGGAGACAGCGATGATCGAACACAGAGAGTCGTCTAACGTCCTCAACTCGGAGAGGCCAGGTTTCACAAGCATAGAGCAAAACTGCTCTCACCGACTCGTTGTAGATCCGGCCTTTTACAGCCAGACTAACATCACGAAGGCGCCAAAGGTGGCCCAGATTGGCATAAGCCGCTCTGGCTTTCACTATTCGTGCATTGATCTCATCACTCACACCCCCACCAGCACTTATGCAGCTACCCAGATACACGAACTTTGCTTAATAATCACATTAAATTCAACATAAGATAATAATAGTGATAATAATAATAATAATATTGAAAGCAATAACTAAAATCCATTGAACTTACATTTTATATAAAGTGATAATGCAAGTGAAATGAATGCAGCAACAATTAAAACAATTAATGTTAAATCTTGTAAAGCTTCCCACATTAATCTTAAAAATGTTTTAGCACGTTGTTGTGGTATAACATTAGCACCGAATGTATTAATACGTTTAGAGAAATCATCTTCATGTAAACCTGAAATAAGATTGAGAGAGTAAAATTATGTTTTATATTATTATATATGAAAAGGATACATTGTAGTATAACTATTCTATTGGGTAGTGTTAAAAATAGTTAAGAGTTAAATGTAAAGTTGTCATTATGATTAATTAGGTTAAACGGTCAACTACCTGAAATATTAAACTGTAAAAATATACAGCAATATATAATGGAATTAATCAATTATAAGTCAGTCAGCTACAATGTAGGACCAGGCACATATATACATCGGTTCAAGTTGCTATACCTCATTATCACAACAAGATCAACACGGATTACATAAAGTAGTTAGTTCAATGGTGGTAATATATAAAAGAACGATTACGTATAAGGATATAGTATAAGAAGAAAGAATTAGTTGGTAGAAGGAAAGATATGAAGCAATTTTAATCTAATAGTATAAAGGAAGACAGAGAGCCATGTCACCAAGAGTCTCTAACCATTCGTTGCCATAGTCACACGGACCCCAACCAAGCAGTCTGCATCTCCCAACATGTCTCAGACTAGAAGATAGTGACTTCAAGGACTGATATCACGTTTTGTCTTGGTCGCCCCCAACACTAGTGACCATTGCACGTCGTGATAATCAGTGTTCAGGTATACGTAAAACGTGGTCTAACCATCTCCGTCGATGAAAATTCACAACCAACTGAGTTGATAAAAAATATAAATCAAAATTGTTTCATTGGATTTCGACAAGACTTATCTTATTTGACATTCTTCAATCGGATATACCTGAATCTCAGTGTTGATGTTTACAGTGGTATTTGAACCCAGTATTCACTAAGCTACTGAGTTCAGATAGCCATCAACTTGTTCAATGGGAATAAAGTAATTTATTAGGGTATAAATTTTCTCACTGTTGACATTTAAAATTACAATTGGTCAGTCTATGTTAGAATATAAGCAGTTTGAGCGGATCGCCACAATATATTATCGTTTATAATTACAAGTGTTATATTATGCAATGTCCAATTTTGAGACCGATACGTGATCTTCCTATACACGATCCTAATTGGTTACTTAAATGAAAAGACTAAGAACGGAGAAGGGATTTTATTGAATAACCAAATCAGCATTTATGTATGCTCATTCATTCATTCATTCATTCATTTATCCCTTGGGAAATTAAGCCATCAGTGATGTATGTATGACGCCTAGGAAATGTAAGTCTTTTTTTTTTTACTAATCACGTGCATTTATCACATTCAACCGATTTTTCAATGACCCTAGGTATTATCTTTCCTTTCGGAATAATAAAACTTACTGAAGGTGCTAGAAATGAGGCCATAACCAACAAGATATCTAATCAATTTAGATTATCTTTCAATAGATAAATTAAATGACTTCATTGAAAATTTTTTTTAAAAAAAAGAAGAAGATAAATGATGAATATTGAATGTGACAGATCTGAAAATGTCCTATCCTCTGTTTGTTTGTTTGTTTGTTTCTTAAATGTAGGTTACCATTTATTTAAAAATGTTAATCATAACAACTATATATACATAGAATTGTACTGTAGTGAACAAGAATACGGGTGGGGACAATCGATTGTATTTAGCACAAAGATTACAGACTATCTCAATAAAATGTGAATACCATAAAGTCAATCGTCAATTTGCAAAATATCATTCCATCATATCAAACTGTACTGTTCCCGTTGCAAACACTAATCCATTGTCTCCCATTCCATTGTACATGCGTTTTCTTACAATTCCATTGTGCTCTTGCTCTTCCTTTCTTGATCTTCCCCATCTTCTGCTGCCGGACCTTACGTTTATTTAACGCACGTTATATACTACTTATATGAATATAAGTAGCTCACACCACGCACCACAGTACTACTAACATGATAAACTAAGGTTTTTTTTAATGAATTATAGAGAGCAGTGACCATTATAATTCAAGTATTTAACTATTAATCAATAAGAAATAATGTCCTATTTCATTTTTATTTAGATTCAGATTATTAAACCATATCCAAATAGTATCATAACAACTGAGTATACTTGATAAATAAATTACATTATAGAATTAAGGGTAATTATTAATTAACTAATCAGATACAATAGAAGGTAATGAATAAAGATTTGGTCAGTTAGTAACAACGCAGAACTTCGTACGTACGTACGTACATCAGTTCGAGTTGCCATACCATATTAGCACAGAGATACAATTGTCAATTCAAATCCCATAATGGTAGAGGTAGAAAGAGTATAAGCAGTAACCGGAAAGATTAGGGTTTGAAGATGTTATTTAAAGAGTATAATCTAGTGAAACAAATTTGGAAAGAGAAAAAAAGAGACAAGGAGGATTTAGGAGATTAGAATTTTGAAGAATACAAAGAGTGGATACACCTGCCCCATTACAAACGATTTTGAGCCATGTTATTCAAGGTCTCTAATCATCGGTTGCTATCATCTCGTGGACCCCAATCAGGTAGTCTACACCTAACAACATGACTCAGTCCACTTGTCAGTGTCTTCATGGACTTGTGCCATGTTTTGGTTTGGCCGCCCCTAGCTTTCTTCCAACCTACTCCTATATCACTGAACATAGCATGTCGAGGCATTCGGTGGTTGGGCATACGTAACACGTGTCCCAGCCATCTCAACTGATGAAGTTTCACTACTTCATCAATTGATTTGCCATCCTTACCTAGTACCCGTTTCCTAACAACTGTGTTACTTACTCGATGGTCCCATGATATACGAGCAATGTTTCGAAGACACCTATGATCAAATACTAGTAGCCTACGGATATCCTCTACTCTTACCGGCCATGTTTCACTGCCATAAAGTAGGACGGAACGAACTGCTGCGCAGTAAACACGTCCTTTGGTTGATAGACGGATATCTCGCCTACGCCATAAATGACGCAAGTTGGCAAAAGCTAGTCGAGCCTTCTGTATCCGTGCTGAGATTTCGTCACACACCAGACCACAAGGGCTGATGAGACTTCCAAGATAAGTGAAGCGGTCGACACACTCAACTACTTCACTCCCTATCACTAGTTCGGGTGTCGATGTAACTCAAGGAGTATAATCCAGTGAAATATATTTCGAAAGAGAAAAATAAGGGACATGAAGTTTACGTCCATTTTTAAAGACATTAATTACATACAGTAAAAGTAATAAAACAGCGATTCTATAATTAGGTGTAATGTTTTAAGTTATAAATCAGTTAATCATGACGTAAACCTTAATTCATTGAAATGATTAGAAAACACACACCTGGCAACAAACATTAAAAATATGGGATACTAGCTGATATAGTAGGTTGGAGAAGGTAGTAGGATTTAATTAGGATATGGAAAGTATTATTCCATAACATCCTAACTACTAGTTTGAGATGAATTGAAAAATGAAAAAAAATATTGATTGAAATCCAAGTAATAAGCATAATCAACTGTTAAAGAATTTATGTGATATAGCTCTAAATTGATTTCACTGATTAAAATAATGAGTCAATTGAAGCTAGACTCAGAATTAATCGGAATCGTGTAGGTGTATATACTCTCTGTCTTCCCTTAAACTATGAGATTAAAATTGCTTCACATCTTTCTTTCGACAAACTACTTCTTTCTTCCTGTACTATATCCTTATACATAATCGTTCTTTTATATATTACTACCACTGAAGTGATTAGTTCTATGTAATCGGTGTTCATCTTGTTGTGATAATAAGGTATGGGAACTTGGACCGATGCATATATGAGCCTGGTTCTACATTGTAGCTGACTGGTTGACTGAGTGCTATACTAAGATGAAACAGTTGTCTAGTGTTATTATATTTCGAACAGTTATTGAACCAAAATCATTCCGTGACATTCTATAACAACATTTGATTATGTTTCTTCATTAGTAGCAGTAAGATTATAATTCTATAGAACAGAATAATTCGACCATATGTTCAAGATCACTATATTAAACCTCCAATAAACTACTAAACTAACAAGATATCAACAGTTTACTTTTCTTATATTGGTACCAAATTCAATTAACGTTTTTTTGTTTTGTTTATAATCACTATGATAAATCTATTTCATGTTTATTGATTTTATTTTCCATTTATTAAGATCATATTCAATGTACTTTATTATTAAGAAAGTGAAAAAATATGTAATTTATGACGTAGAGTTAGCAACAACAACAACCAAAAAGAGAGGGAGAAAAAAAAAGAGAAAATTGACTTCATTTAAAATATTTTTAAAAAAAACAGTTGACAACAAATTAGTTTATAGTTAACATAGAAACAATGAAATAAGTACATAGACTCAAATTTCTATCAAGATATATAGATATAGATATATACTTTATTAAGATAGTATGCATGATTTATTTTCATTAATCCATTAGAGATTTATAAACTATGTACTTTGATATAGAAAATTTAGAATAGCAACAGCGACAACAACAACAACGAAAAAATATCACAAATCTAATTTAATTGATTTTTTGATTATTTTCTACAATTTTCAGCATAGATACTTTTTTTAAATTTAAGAAGAAGAAGAGGAAAAAGAAAAAGGAAAAAAAGAACCCTAATGATAATCACTAAGGTAAGTTGAAAAGTTATATCGTGTTTTATTTCATACTTATACTTATTCCCCGACCGTTGTTGCTACCTTGATGTGGTGGTCGAGCTTGCCTATCGTGATGAAGCAACCGAGCTATACTGGCTAGAACAACCGTTCCTCTAGGTCCTACCACGTCAGAAAGGTCGGTTGAAGAGCGGTAAGACTAAAAGCAACAAACTCAAGGTCCGAAGGCGAAGTCGTACTGCTGACTATACAGAGGTGTGACAGCAGTAAGGTGTTTCCTTCAGACAACCAGCATGACAGCGATGCTGCCTTCTCACAAAGAGTGGTGAGGTTAGAAAAGGTCGACCCTAGAAATGCACACCTTGCCTTATCCTACGGATATCCATTTCCGGTGGTAAGGTCTGAACAAGTACGGAGCTAACAAAAAAACTCCTT